TGAGGACAGGAAAAATACATGCAAATATATGATTGCTCTACTACTATATATGAGCTATGCATTTTCTAATCATTCCAGCCCTCTTCTGTGGGTACATAGTACAGAATTGCCATAGCATAGTGCTGTGCAGTTCAAATATGAATTTGTTTCATATAGCAGGCCAGAAAAAAATAGACAATCTAGGTTTCCTGTACAACTATATAGGAATTACAAGTTGTTTAATCCTTACATTTCCCTTACAGCCTTTCTCTGTGGGTACACAAAGCACTACTGTCATAACAGTGCTACACAGCTCACATTATGACTTGCTACATGTTTTAGGCCAGAAAAATACATGCAGAGCTTTTATCACTGTACAAAACTATACATAAAGTATTCATTAAATTTCCCCTCTGGTCTTCTTCTGAGATACACAATGTAAAACTGAAATAACATAGTGCTATGCAGCTCACTAAAGGATGTGTTTCATATCTGAGGCCAGGAAAATACATACATGTCTATGTTTGCTGTACAGCTATGTTAATTACAATTTTTTAATTAATAAATTTCCCTTTTAGCCTTTCCCTTTGGGTACACAAAATAGAACTGTCACAACATAGTGCTATACAGCTCAAATAAGGACTTGCTACATATCTGAGGCCAGGAACATAAATGCAAATCTATGATCACTGTACAACTATATATGAACTATAAAGTTATCATTACATTTCCTCTCTAGCCTCTCTGTGGATACAACATATAGAAATGTCATAACATATTCCTACACAGCTCAAATAAAGACTTGCTACAAATCTGAGGCCAGGAAAATAAATGCAAATTATGATCACCATACAACTATATATGAACTATAAAGTTATCATTACATTTCCTCTCTAGCCTCCACTGTGGATACAACATATAGAAATGTCATAACATATTCCTACACAGCTCAAATAAAAACGTGCTACATATCTGAGGCCAGGAAAATAAATGCAAATCTATGATCACCATACAACTATATATATGAACTATAAAGTTATCATTACATTTCCTCTCTAGCCTCCACTAAAAAATAATAAAATAAAAAAACACCATACAGAAATGTCATAACATATTCCTACACAGCTCAAATAAAAACGTGCTACATATCTGAGGCCAGGAAAATAAATGTATGATCACCATACAACTATATATGAACTATAAAGTTATCATTACATTTCCTCTCTAGCCTCCACTGTGGAAACACCATATAAGAAATATAACATATTCCTAACAGCTCAAATAAAAAACGTTGCTACATATCTGAGGCCAGGAAAAAAAAAAAATCTAAAATGCAATATGATCACTGTATAATTATATATAAACAATAAAGTTATCATTACATTTTCTCTTTAGCCTCTTCTGTGGATACAACATATATAGTACTTTCATAACATAGTGCTACACAGCTCACATAAAGACTTGTTACATATCTGACGCCAGGAAATGACACAGCACTACACCCTGTAAAGAATATTTTTCTGCTGAAACACATACAGTGCAGAGTGCTGTGATCAAACCAGATTTTTAGTGTTAATTCAGCTTTGACCTGAAATGTAGAAACAGCTTCACTACATAAAAGATTTTTCACAAAGCAAAGCTAAACCTAAAAATCTGCCATATTCTTTGGGGATCACCTCCTGTTCGTAAAGCATAATATGATCACTTAACTGACATCCATCTTATAAACTTAGATGACTTCCTAGCAGCCTCGCAGTTATTACTGGTACATCATCTAGCAAAAATCCTGCTGGGGTGAAATATACAGGTAGAAATAATGTAATGCTGCCTTAAAGGGCTATAAATCATGTCTTTTCTCAAGGCGTCTGCCTGAAATATGCGATGTCTACTGTCTTGTGGCTGCAGGAAATGCAGCTTGTGGAAAACTTACTGGAAATGAATATTGCTCTCAAGCAGTAAAGACCATGTGCACTGCCCAAGTATGTATTCTGGGAAGCTTCATCAATGGAGACAAACAATTGTGCATTGTCTGAGTGTCCATACACCAGTATCATACAGGCAGCACCAGTGACTCACAGCACTTCCTATGCACACAGCAGGCTACATTATTTATTTAAATGAATATTTTTTTACAACACTGTTTTTTTTTTTACATTTTGTTTATTTTACACAATGCAAATAAATGCGATTTCACCTACCACAAAGTGATTTCCTACCAAAACACTCATTCCAACATGAAACATAGAAAATGCTTAGTAAGTGTGAGCCTGTAGGAGGAGTTGGGCTCGGTCGGGCTGGATGTATCGGGGTGTGAGTGCTGTCACTAACACTTCATTACACACCAGCTTGGTATGATGACTCACATCTACAGCCATATACCCCACACTTATCTTCACCTGTAACAAGCCACTGCACACAACAATCCTATGACACATCTGCAATATACAGCAGACCAAGGGAATCAGCTAGTCGATTCTAACCATTGTATCGTGTTCAATCCAATCGGTGCAAACAGTAAAAACTATATAAAAGCAAACACATACAATAAACTAACCAGGTAATTGCAACAATAGGTAGCAAGGATAAAGCAAGCAACAGTAGACAAATTAAAACTATATATATATATATATATATTGCTCTCTCTCTCTCTATATATATATATATATATATATGTACAAATGGAAGCAGCCCAGGGCAACGACTGTAGTTGAAATATTGTCTCTCAGTCACTATATATATATTTATATATATGTTGCCCAAAGCAACAACTGCAGCTAACATATTCCTATCTTTATCTCTCTCTAATATGTAAATTTCTCTCTCTCCCTCTCTCTCTCTATCTATATATATATATATTTAAAAGGAGAGAGCGAGAATATATATGAAAAAAATAAATATAAATATAGATAGATAGAATATATCATCTGCAGTTGTTGCTTCCATTTAAAAAAAAAAAAAAATATATATATATATACACACACATATGTATGTATGTATATATATATATATATATATATATATATGTATATATATACTTTTTTTTTAAATGGAAACAACAACTGCAGATGATATATTCTATCTATCTATATTTATATTTATTTTTTTTCATATATATTCTCGCTCTCTCCTTTTAAATATATATATATATAGAGAGAGAGAGAGAGAGAGAGAGAGTTAACAAAAAGTGCTGAAACTTTTTAAAGAACATACACACATACATATATATATATATATATATATATATATATATATATATATATATTTGTTTTCTTTTAAGGAAAAACAGCAAGGCAGAGAAACAACAGCAGCTCAAATATTCCCTCTTTACATAGAATATGTGTGCTTCGTGTATGCACACATTACACAAATATAAAAAAAGAGCAGAAATATTATTCATATATATATATATATATATTATATATACATACATACACATTATACATATGTATATATATATATATATATATATATATATATATATATATAAATACATTTATAATACGATCATGCAGGCACCTTATACAGTGTAATATTATCTCTATACTCGCACAATACACGACCATTTTATGCAAATTATTTTACACAGACACATAAATGCCAAATTATTTTTAGGAGGTATTTTATGTAAATATGTATATATCTGTCTAATTAACATATTAAAATGTACGGAAAGTTATTGTCAAATTTAAAAAGCCATACTACTATAAAGAAACGACATATACAGATAAATACAAAGATATGAGATGTATTACATATTTCTCTGTGTTTGTCCATTTTGGACAGAAGTCACCAGGTATAAACTTAGTAAAAAGTTTTGCTTTCCTCCAACCAAAGTTTTCAAATGAAGAAGTTCTCATACAATGGAATATACAATCAACATCGTACATCAAGCCAGGTGATATTTATTTAAAGAAATGAATTTTTTCTTCCATGACAGATAATATTCAGACACCACAATACTATACATTATACACGACAAAAATAATAAAAAGAAGATCTATACAGCATACCTTTGTCCACATTCTGTTTTCCTGGACACATGTAGCAGTGCTTAAGACTGGCATTGAGTATATCCCATACCATAAAAAGAAGAAAAAAAGTACAACGTGAACCTTCAGATACAGTAAATATTCTAGGATAAAACGTCCAATCAATGTGACTGAAACAAAAAATCCATACTTCCCCAAACAATGCATATATGTAAGTAATTTCTGCACCGTGTGTCAGTAATGATCTGAATAGCTCATAACACTGATGGTAAGAATAAGAGTAAAGAAAAGGCCTTTTTTATCCAGATACCTCTGCACGGTTGTATTTCAGCAATTGTAATAATTCTGTGGCCACAGAATGAAATAAACTATTAATAAGACATTTCTATTCATGACAAGTCTCAGGGTTCTAGAAGAGAACGTGAAGAAGGTTAACCATTAAAGTACCAGACAAGAGATGTCATCTGCCTAGAAACCCCCTATCACGCAGTAGTTTCCATAATAAATCTTTTTCTCTTATGAACGTAAATGTGCAGAGATCTGTCATTTTTTTGTATGTGTAATTTACAAGATTTTCAAGCATACTCAACAAAACATGTGTTACATATGCACCTTAGAACGTATGTACATGTTATATTCTTAGACAATTCATTAAGACTCCAGAAAATGGAAGAAACGAGCAGATTGCCTGATGTCATCAGGGCTATCAATGACAGTGACAGAACCGTGTCCTGGAAACATATTAAGCGCTGATTGTTTTAAATATATATATATTATATAGACGATTTATGTAGGGAGAAGCCTACAGAACATCAGACCCCGGTGTATTCACAGTTAGGGGTGAATGGAGGAGGGTGGACACTGGGGGGGGGGGGGGTGATGGGATCATTGATAGATTCTGTCACTTGCATTCCATTCTTATATTAAATAATCCATAGTTCCATTGGAGAAATGTCTTATACGTGGGAATGAGATAAATATTTATTGGGGGGGGGGGTTGGGGTGGGGGGGCTTCCTAGGCTCCCCCTAGTGTCAGGTATTGTGAAGGTGAGAGGATTTGCATTTGGTGATGACTTTTTTCTCTTTGACTCTTCGATTCTGAAACCATATTGTGACCTGGCGCTCAGACAGACTGGTGGCCGTGGAGATCCTTCGTCTCTTCTCTTTGGTTATGAATTTGCTGGCTGCATACTCCTTTTCTAGTTCCTTCAGCTGGATTTTGGTGTAGGGAACCCTCTTTTTCCTGCCCCTGCGGTAGCTGCTAACCTCTGGCTGGAGGGGCACCACATCTGTATAGAGAGGACAGACAGCAAACGGTTAAACCACAGCCTGGCACTGCCCTACAGCTTATACACCGAGCCAGCCCTGCTAGTCCTCTCTCCTATACAGACCTTCTCCCAATAAATTCCCCATGACACTTTTAGATGGGCACATTAGTTAAACACTTATACACGTAAAACGGCTGCTGGATTTATCATCTATATCAAGTCCAAGCTCATATCAACCATATTTCAATGCCCAGGGGTTTGGGGGAAAAGGGGGGAATGGCCACATGGATATGCACTTGAGGACAGAAGATGACAGTTGATTGTCATAAACAGTTCTGCTCGGTGCTGCAGGTGTTCTGACAGATGATAAAGTCAACTGCACAGCCCAGATTAGCAGCACCTGGCCTACAGAGCACCGGAGAGGGAGGCTGGGGACTTGTGCAACACATGAAAGGACATTAACAGTTTCACACTTCACCAGTCTGACAAGATCACTTGTGTCCTAGATAGCAGGGGACCACAGTATGAGCTACAGCCAGGCAAATACAGCCCACACCATACAGCCAGGCTGATACAGCCCACATTACACAGCCCACACCATACAGCCAGGCTGATACAGTCCACATTACACAGCCCACACCATACAGCCAGGCTGATACAGCCCACATTATACAGCCCACACTATACAGCCAGGCTGATACAGCCCACATTATACAGCCAGACACATACAGAACACCATACAGCCAGGCTAATACACCCACACTATACAGCCCACACTATACAGCCAGGCTAATACACCCACACTATACAGCTAGGCTGATACAGCCTACACCATACAGCCAGGCTAATACAGCCCACACCATACAGCCAGGCTAATACAGCCCACACCATACAGCCAGGCTAATACAGCCCACACCATACAGCCAGTCTAATACAGCCCACACCATACAGCCAGTCTAATACAGCCCACACCATACAGTCAGGCTAATGCAGCCCACATCATACAGCTAGGCTAATACAGCCCACACAATACAGCCCATACTATAAAGCCAAGCTAATGCAACCTACATTTTACAGCCAGGCTAATACAAACCCACACAATACAGCCCACGTTATACAGCCAGGCTAATGCAGCCCACACTATACAGACATGCTAATACAAACCCACATTACACAGCCCACACTTATCAGCCAGGCTAATACAGCCCACACCATACAGCCAGGCTAATACTAACCCCCACAATACAGCCACACTATACAGCCAGGCTAAATACAAACCCACACTATACAGGCCACACTACAATATACAGCCAGGCTAATACAAACCCACACTATACAGCCAGGCTAATACAGCCCACACTATACAGCCAGGCTAATACAACCCCTCACTATACAGACAGGCTAATAGAAAACCAAACACTATACAACCAGGCTAATACAGCCCACACTATACAGCCAGGCTAATACAACCCTCACTATACAGACAGGCTAATAGAAAACCAACACTATACAGCCAGACTAATACAAACCCACACTATGCAGCCCACACTATACAGCCAGGCTAATACAGCCCACACTATGCAGACAGGCTAATACAAACCACACTATACAACCAGGCTAATACAGCCCACACTATACAACCAGGCTAATACAGCCACACTATACAGCCAAGCTAATACAAACCCACACTATACAAACAGGCTAATACAGCCCACACTATACAGCCACACTAAACAGCCAGGCTAGTACAGCCCACACCATACAGCCAGGCTAATACAAGCCCACACAATACAGACCACACTATACAGTCAGGCTAATACAAAACCCACACTATACAGTCAGGCTAATACAAACCCACACTATACAGCCAGGCTAATACAGCCTACACCATACAGCCAGGCTAATACAAACCCACACTATACAGCCAGGCTAATACAGCCTACACCATACAGCCAGGCTAATAAAAACCCACACAATACAGCCCACACCATACAGCCAGGCTAATACAAACCCACACTATACAGGCCACACTACACAGCCAGGCTAATACAAACCCACACTATACATCCAAGCTAATACAGCCCACACTATACAGCCAGGCACATACAGACCACACCATGCAGCCAGGCAAAGACAGCCCACTCTATATAGCCAGGCTATAAAGGATTCACTCCATCAAAAGATTTCACTTTATATTGAATATCGGGGATAGCACTTTTCAAATTCGGCTATTAAGTTTTTTCAAAACTGTTGCAATATACAAA